TGTTGTGCATGTCGAGAGTTGTGCAGCGAGCCCGTTGGTGAACATTACCATTGAGGTTCTGACAGGTTGGACGCGCCGGGCTTCACTCGTGCAAAGAAATTCTGATGTTCTTCCTTAAAAAAGAAAATTCAGCTCCCCCCGCTTTTTTTTTTCCGGGGCCCCGCGCGGCCTCAAATTGTTGTTGTTGTTGTTTTTGTTTCTTGACGCGACATCCCCCTTGAGCCTACAACACCCCTTCCCAACTTTTTTTTTTTTTGGCCGACCCCTTGTTTTCGGGGTGCACCGCACCCCGTGCGCGCGCGTCGTGCGCGGTGCGCAGTGCGGCGCACGTGCGGGATGCCGCACACCTCGATGCGCCGCAAGTATGGATTGTACACATTCACGATCAGGGTGCATTGCGTTCACGGGAAAACAGCCGTTAAATCATAGGTAGTTCCAAATTTCCAATGCCCCGACTTCCACATGGGTCTGTTTTGGGTGGAACAGCAGACATGTGGCCCGGGAATATCTACCGTTGCATCTGCTCTCACTCTCCCCGGCTTTCGTGTCTGATGATTTAGGGTTTCGCTGCACTACTCTCCACTGTCCGAAATTTTGGATAGTTGGCGGAGAGCTGGAAAGCTCTCCGAATTCGTGGTTTGTGGTGCATCGCTGCACTAGCTATCCGCTCTCCAAGAGTCCCAGTGGTGACTGCACTAACAGACAACGTGAAATCGCTGGAGTACACGGCCCGATTTCCATTTGTCTGCCCAGACTCGAGGCACACTCTCCGAATTCGGAGCATTTTGTAGAGTCCCACCGAGGTCCATCCGAAAAACCTTCCTTGCAGGCTGGGCACTATCCGTGACGCGGATAGTGCTTCTCGAGGTTGGTCTCTGACAGCTATCCGAACATTTCCATGGGATGGAATCGGATAGTTAGTGCAGCGATGCCCAACTCTCCGAAATCGGAGAGTGGATAGTAGTGCAGCGAGACCCTTACATGGATGCTATGGTTTAGTTATGTGATGATACTCGTTGTACTGGTGTTTGTTGATTGTTTCCAAGCACTGAGCAGACCGAACGACTGGCTGCATTGCTGTCCTGAGTGAACCAATGGGATTCCCCCATTGCTTCCTGAGCGAACCAATGGGATTCCCTCATTGCTTAGTCCAGCACAGCACATCACAGATGGCACAGGGCACAGAACCACGGAAGCGTGCCATTACTCATCAATACTCACACCAAACAACATAGACGTGCACCTATGTGGTCAACTGTGCATGCCTCAAAAACTGGCGTAGCATGCCAAAAAAACATCGGAGATGCAAGGCATTGTCCCTGCAAATGGTTCCTTGAAATAAGTTATTTAATATTAATACTATTATTATTATTATTATTATTATTATTATTATTATCATCATCATCTGGGTTAAACAGGTCCTCATGGTCCTGACTCCTTATCAACTGGGGAGCATCAGTCTCGTGACTCTAGCTACTACACTTGAGAACATTTTGTTTACCACCATTTTTCCCAGAATGCTTTTTGGCTTTATTGAAGTTTATTCAAATTATTCTTGGATTTGTGGTTTGTATTACTCTGTTGCAGGCCCCCTGTGGCTGTGCATCGCAAATGCGCATCCCTGTGCACACATAGTATGCTGCTAGAATGGTAACTATCCTTTCTGGCCTAGTGATCTCTCCAACAGCAAAACTACTGGCTACTGATCTCTCTCCATTAGCAAAACTTTCTACCTTTTCTTGGAAGATATCAATCTTTAACATTTAGTTGTTTGCACAACTTTGCAGTTATTTGAAACATCTAAGGCCTCAATTTCTTGAGTCCTTGAACCTTTTTTTTTGGGGGGGGGTGGGTGGGGGGGGGCTTAAACCATAAACTCGATTTCCAACATCCTGCCTTTGGATCCCACTCCTCATGACCTTTGCATTACTGTGGGTGGAGGAGGATGGCCCAGCAAGAAAACCGCCACAACCATGCCTGATGGCGGTTAAGCACCGTCAAAGGCTTCTGCCGAGCCCATGATCGATCACATATTTACTTCCCAACCCACTAGTGCTCCTCAATTCCATACCTTCACATCCTATCTGTTCCTCGCTAACATCATGCACATGATTTTCAGTCTCCAAACCTCAGTGCGGCAGGTCAAACGGCAAGGCCTGTAATATCAGACACATGACCTCCGGGGAGTTTTGGGTGGGACTCTGTCCTCCAAATCCAAACAAGCGACCCTTGTGTCAAGGTTTGGAAAACGAAAATCAGGGGTTGATTCAATCCAATTCCGCACTAGGTATTGACGATATTCTTCTCGCAATCTCTTCTTCACTACTCAAAAGAGCCCATCTTTGACAAAGTCGAACTGAATCCACACATGGTTTGCAAGTTCCGTTTGTAGTGGGATGGTGTATTCTGAAAGGTCTTCTCCGGTCTCCAGGGGTATACTGTCATCGCAGATGTGTTGCAGGCGAAGGATCTATTCCTTAGAAAAACTGCAAAAAACTGCATACGCTGGGTCCCGGCATACCACCATGATTGTGCCGCTGCTTGGTGCATGGAACGGAACTTAGGGTTCTGATCCGGCCACATTCTCCATTTCGGCTGTTCCCAAAGCCAGCATAACTTGTCAGCACGTTGCAGGCCTTTTCTAGAGAAAGCGAACAGGACAGCACGTTTCCGATAGAGTTCATTAAGATCCGGGAGCCTGTCTTTGGGGTATTCCCATACTTCTACCTCCTCTTTTGTCCCATCCTTGTTCTCCACATACTCTTCCCTTTTGACCATTTTTTTACCATTGTTTGTTGCACAATCCAGTTCTTAGTATCCAGTCCCAAACCCTCCTTTCCCGATTTCCTTTCTGTACTTACCAATTCCCCTCTACTGCAGCAGAGAGGCATTTGAAGTTATTTTCCCCTGGGCATTTACTGCAACTTACCAAATCTTCAAAAACTTCTTAACTGAATAGTAGTAAAATCTTCCGTGAGGAGTCGAACGCATGACATGGGGATGCTTTCTATGATTGAGTTTAAGTTGGTGGCTCGCACGTGGCATCTCTTCAGGGGTCTTCGTGAGTTTTGAGGGCTCTGCCAAGTCGTTCTCCTATTGTTCCGTAAGTGTCCAATTTTCCAGAGTCCCTTTTCCACCCAAGAGAGCCATTTGTTGTCCTTTCCCCATAGAGTGACCAGGGATTGCCTTCGGTCTATCAGTTTAACTCTTGACTCAATTTATTATTATGGAGAATTATTGTATCAAGATTTGAATATTCGAGAATACTCCGGTTCAATTCGACCGCCTATTGACCAGCCATTCATTGCTGAACAGTGGCTGTCTCAGAACCACTTTTGTTCTTACTGGGTAAATCTTTTTAGGGAGTGGGCCCAGTGAGGTCCTCCACGGGGTGAGAATAGCAATGGATAAGGTCTAGAACTGGGTGTCATCCTAACAGCAGCAGGACGAGCAGTTCCTCTCATCGTGTGACGAGGCAGAGACAGAGTGGCGAGGCTGAGGGAGAGAGAAAAGAGAGAGAGAGAGTGAGAGCGCACACACACACACTCTCTCGTCTCAGACACGGACTCGACTCGACACGACGGACGCAGACACGACGTGGCAGAGTCTCGAAGTCGCAAAATTGCAATCTTGGATTCCGAACACAGAGTCGCGGCAAGTCACACTGAACCACACGCACGGAGGCCGAAGACTGAATGCCCCAACAGGGCTCGAGTCCGGTCTAAATAACCGGACTCAGGCTCAGTCCGGAGGGCCGAGGTGCGGCCTGCCTCAGGACTGAACTGAGGGTTGCGGGTCTGAGTCTGGGCGCCAGAATGCAGGATGGCGCCAAGTGTCGAAATCCGAAAGTGCCGAAGGAGGGATTTGAAAACGGGCGCCAACTGCAGAGGGCGCCAACAGTCAGAAACCGAAGAGCAGGAAATAAAATAAAATAAAATAAAATAAAATAGCAGGCTGGCGGATGGTACTCCGCGGACCAGGGATCGAGCCCTGGCTGAGTTCGTAACACTATCCCCTCCCTCTAGAAGGCAACGTCCCGGCTGCCAGAAGCCATGAAACAATGCTGAAGTCTGGGAAGGACGTAACAGGGCCGATCATCGGTCAACATGTCGAAAGGAAGAGGGGTATAATGTGGGTGGCCTGGGTCGGGGAGTACGAGGGAACAGGGTTATCCTATCAACGAGCTAAGGGGTTTTGCAGCGTATTTCTACTGATGTGCTAAGGGGGTTGGGAAGCACAGGGAACAGGGTAATCCTACTGATGAACTAAGGGGTTGGAAACAACGGGGAAACAAGGTAATTCTACTGATGAACTAGGAGGTTCAGGGCAAAACAGGTTATGTGGTCCTCAACGAAATTTGGCTTGCGATGTACGGGGAGGGGTTGCTGAGGGTCGGGGATTTAGTGGTACAGGTTGAAAATTCTGTGTAGCAGTCTGTAGATGTCTTGAGAACAGGTCTTGAAAGGTGTCGCAGAAGTGTCGGTGAGAAAGCAGTCTTCAGCGAGAGACGGTTAACGGGGGCCCAAATATTCGCCGTTTTCGTTGGCAATTGCGGTGCGAATTTCATCAAAAATTTAAAAAACAAACAATATGAGACCATAGTGCAAACATCAAAAAAGGAAACAGGCCAAGAAAAACGGAAAAAAAAACAAAAAAACACTGTCCGAGTCAAAATGAAGCGTCCAATGAATTCAACAAAATGCCAACTTTTTCATTATTGATCCAAACATGTCAAAACTGCACACATGACGTACCCTAAAGCACATATATATCACACAAAAAGAAAAGCAAGAAAAAAAGCAAAAAATCAGCTCAATATGACAGTTTCAGTGCAATTCGGTGCAAAATTCGTCGAAAATAACACCCAGCTGTCTTATCTCCTCGTACTGAGTTGCAGCATGCCATCGTCCTCGTGCGCTTGCCATTAGATCCATTATCGCCGGCGACGCGCAGGGGCCACATAGGGAACTTGGACAAGAGAGACAAGGATGTGGCGGAGGACAGATGGGAGAAGGGGGCGAGACGGAGGCAAGAGCGGATCAGACAGAGGGAGGTCAAGGGGCAAGGGCTTTGCTGGGGGCAGGGGTGTGTGTAGGGCAGGAATGCGGGGTTTTGGCGGGGTCAAGGCGGGGGTTATCGTGAAGGCGGCAGAGGGGGACCGCACACAGATTGGAGAGTTGCCAGCAGATACCGACTGGAGTCTTGACACTGGTAAGTGCCATGGCGGTTCTCGGGATTGTAGCTGCCATGCCATGTGCCAGCCGTTGCAGGATGTCGCTTGTGTACTCGGCTCAGTGACAGTCAAGATGTGTGATCGACAGCTTTGCGGGTTGAGGACATCCCTTCCTCGTGGTAATGGCTGTCTGTCCTAAGTAGATGGATGAAGCGCGATGGCGTTCAGCCAGTGGTGAGGGGGAACTCCCTCCCCCCTCTGGCTATGGCGGCCGCCTTGTTCGAACGTCCTTGCCACCATGTTTGAACTGAAGTCCTGGATATGCGTGTGAAAATGTCTGGGCACGAAACACCATCCAAAGGCCGGGGTTGGGAGTGCTCTGCCGTGGAACATGGCGCTAACGCTCACCGGCAGCTCAGGCATGTTCTTGACCTTGGACAACAAATCTAACAATTCTATTTAGTGTATATTTCTCAAGCATACCAAACATCTGAGGCAGCCAAAAAAGAATCATCAAGGCAGCTAGAATGAAGGTCGCACTGAGCCCATGCGGCTGAATAGTATAAATTGACACGAAAATCAATCAACCATTATCACCTCATATTACTATTTATAAGCCACAATTAACTTCTACTCTCGCTATTTTTCATAGAGTTTGTGGTGCTTTTTTAGCTAATAAACCCAGGGAGATATCCCGGGTGCCCCGGTCCAAACGTCACGCCCGGTTTGGCGACCGGGTGACCAGCCGGGCATGACCCCCGGGCATGGGGCTGGGCAGCCCCAGCGCAAAAAATAAATAAATAATAATAATAAAAAATCCAAAAAAATCTGAAAAAAAAATGTTGTGTAGAATTGCAATACAAACAACTTTTGGCTGAAGGTCACATCAGAATTCCTCACCGAGCTGAAGATAAAAAAACAAATAACCAAATCACACTAGGGCAACCCCCTTTCAACCCCTTTAGGCCTTTTAAAATTCATTAATACTCCCCTTCCCCCACCTTGACACCCAACTCTCAAAAAAAGAAAAGAGCCCGGATCTGGGCTCCTCTCGGAGAGCGCAGAAAAACCCCACCGCCAAATTTTTTTTATTTTTTTTTCCCCATGCCCAGATATCCCAGGCGTCAGATGCCCCCGGGCATCACGCCCGGGTGACCGACCGGTCCAGACCGGCCGGTCATGAAAATCTTCCTAGTAATAAACAGGTCACGAGGTCAAATCCTGATGGAATCGGATGGACAAAATAAGTTCAGGTGATGCCCCCCTGAAAGGGAAAAAAAAACAGAATGAGGCTCACAATGCCTCACATCCATATGTTATCAAATTTCTTACATACTCAGGCACACTCACGATGCAGCTCTCATCCATATTCCAAGACATTCAAATACTCATGCTTCTGCAGCAGCTGAAAAAGGTCAAGCCATAACTAACGCACCTCAATATTCTCATACATCCTCACGACAATGTGAGTGAGGTAGTCAAGCTCAGTTGTTTGATGAAGTCTTAACAGTGCGTCATCCGAGACAAGAGCATGCTCCCCAGCAAGTGACTCATCCAGCTGGCAGTACCGAAGCACATTGATAAGAGCATGCATATGTGACTCCTGGAAAAAAAAATCCCAGTTGGGCGAAACGGGCATCACAGCGAAAATGCGTCAAACATGGACAGTACACATACAACTTGATACAAGGGATCCAAGAAAACGGATATGGAAATTTGACTCTTGACTCTGATGAGTTAATTCAATTGCGCTATTGGTGCTTCCGTTCAAAAAAAAGAACAGGGCGCTACTCTATGATTCTGGCTCCTTTGCATTCTTGGTACTTCCTACGCAGAGAACACCAAAGCCTAGCTCAGTTGATACACCCCTGAACTGAACTGCTGAAATACAGACCCGAGTTTGAACTCCACTGGAAGCAGATGAGTGAAGTGCTACAATTCTGAATTACCAAAGTAGGGACGGTCAGTTCGACGATGATATGATATCTCAAGGATGTCTCCCTTTTTTTAAATCAAACAAAAAAGTTACAAAATTATAAAACTGACAAATTGGTCGGACATCCTTTCTACTCGGGTATACATGGTTAGCAATATGCATAAAAAGTTGCAAGCTGGATATCCAACTGGTTCAAACTAATGAGGCCAATGGGCTTAGCAACACAGGGTGAAGGCCGATTTTTTTTTTTTTTTTTTTTTTTTTTAACTAACCTGTATTCTTCTCTCGATACATCTCCCACTACCTACCTACCTACACGCAGCTTAGCAATCCACTACAGTTTTTTTTTTTTTGTGCCCAAGGCAGGAAATCTCTTTTAAGTTAAGAAGCCAAATCTGCTCTGTGTGGGGAGCAGCACCCAAGCGCGAGCTGGAAGGCGCAAATGGTCGCTTCCCATCCAGCCAGGAAGGCCGACTTGTTCAAATAAGATATGCGGATGATTTTAATGTCCTTTGCAAGGTTCAAAAGGTTGCTCAGGGCGCTGAGGGTTTCTATCACAATGGTTCAACCCGTGGGGGCCTGTAGGAGAAAAGAGCAACAGCCATCATTTGGAGCATGGACTACTCATTCTCTGAGCTTTGCAATATCAAATCGATCTGTTCCAATAATTCAGGATTTGAACATTTCATACTGTGCACAAACTGAATCAGACAAAAAGAGGACAAAAGAATTAGCTCACAGATCCATACTGTGAATGACTCCTGCTGGACTGAAATCTATCAACTTTTCACACTGGACGGACGAGAAAAAGGCCCCTCTCCAAGATAGCAATAACATCAATGAATTTGAATGAAGTGAAACGGTATTCACCAATTCGTGGTAGCTGAGGTAGATCCCAGGGCTCGATCCCTAGTTCCCCAACTTACCTGTGTACAAT